TATATCACGTGACAAACCACGGGTCCGGGTAGTCCTATGGGTACCCGGGTCCTACTCACTCAGTACCCACCCGACCCGAGTATCCGAGTTACCCCTCCCAGCCCTACTGTCATCGTTAGGTTTCCATTATGATGAACTGTTGAAATTATAGTCGTATTTTGCCTTGGTGATTTGTAACTTGTGTTATGATATCCTCGACTAAAGCAAAAAAGTTAAACATGCAAATACAAGGACAAATTCAGTTTTGAGATAACTTAAGAAATCTGGGTAAACTTGAATATTCTTTTTACAGTTTTTGAAAACTCGGTGAACTCACGAATATATAGCATTGAAAAGGCGACTGGAAGCAGAGAGAAAGTTTAAAACATAATTTTAAAGTGTTTCTCCTTTTACAAAATCAAGGCAAATTAACCTCATAGAGGCCCAGCAAATAATTAGAGATTTTTAGTGGAAAAGAAATTGCTTTTTCAGTCCACTCTAATTTGTTCTTTTCATAAACATGTATAAAGTAAGAAAAGAGTGATGCTGGATGCCTTCCTAAATTGATGTTTTAAAGGCATGTTTCTCTGGCCAGCTATGTACTTTATGTTAAGCTCAGGTCTGTACATATCACAAGCAGGTGTATCATTTTATTGTGTTCCTGATAGAGGAAACATGGATTTCAGAGTTGAAGTGAGAGTTCTAAAATGAGTGAGCGAGTGAGTTGGGTTTAACACCGCATTTAACATTATTACAGTTATATCGTGGCGTATAAGCTTAATGTGGAAGTAAAGCCCGAAGTGATGCAGGCCTCAGACGTTTACCACTTCGGTGAAACCCACGAGCCCGGGTATGGTGCTGACAAACCTAGAAACATAATCCGTGCGAACCGGGATTCGAACCCACAATCATAGGTTTCTGGCGTGCCCAAGGGACGCAACTCTGCACAGCGCCTTTAGACGACTGGGCCACCAGTGCCCCGAGTTCTAAAATGAAGGGGAGTGTCTGCTGCAATTGCTGCGCGTCAGTTCCAAATTTAATTTCTGGGCTTTGAATACTCAATAACACCACAAGTCTAGAAACACATGATGTCTATAAAGTATCATCCTCATTTATCCAGTGTATCTTATATATTATGGTATGTCCCCTGCACCCATTTCCCACCATGGCTTTGTTTCGGAAGTGACGTCTACACCTCCATTTCTCTTACGTAGTACCTAACTTCTCTCGGTGATTCGACGACTAATTCCACTGAACAGATATGTTTGTGTTCAAAATGGGTTCCAAACAAGGCAACATCATTAATCACAAAAGACTAGATATGATACACTATATAGTCGAGAATATTAGAGTATTTGAATGTACAAAATTGATTGAACTTGTGGAGAGAATGGTGTAAAAGTGACTACGATTTGTCACATCATGATGTAACTCACATGTAAATTTGTTTTTTTGCAGGTTCAATGAATATGGATGTATATATTTTTATAACAGTGATCAATGTATTTACGTAATGCAACATTTATTTATTTTTTTTGCGAAGAGCATCAATCATAATATAAGATAGAAATAGTTAAATTAATTTTGATTTTCCCTGATTGCTCTACATTTGATTAGAAAAATGAAATGCTACTAATATGTAATAACTCTTAAATAGTATTTCATCCAATGTGTTTCATATAGCATCTGGCCACTGCACACTCCTTCCCTGACAGAAGTAGATGCATGTCCATATTACTGTAATATATAAACACACTTTACTTTTAACAGAATAAGCATTTATGTTAACCAGTCATACCGACCAAACCAAGTAACTTTATACTAAATAAACACATACAAGACCATATTATTTCAACATACCAATGGTAAATGTTTTTGTGTGAACTTTAAAATAATAAATTTGAGGACTAAAAAATCAGATGAACAATTTTGTCTTTGTAGGCAAATATTTGTTTCATGTTACTTACAGCTGTGTTAGACCCGTTAAGATTCCGGAGAAGAAAAGGTCTTCAGCAACCCATGCTTGCCGTAAAAGGTGACCATGCTTGTCCTAATAGGCAACTAACGGGATCGGGTGGTCAGGCTTGCTGACTTGGTTGATGCATGTCATCGATCCCAATTGCGGGGATCAATGCTCATGATATTAATCACTGGATTGTCTGGTCCAGACTCGGTTATTTACAGACCGTCATATATCTTGAGTGCGGCGTTAAACAACAAACCAACAAAAACAATACAGCTGCGTTAGGGAATCTTCTGTGCAGGTAGTGCTAGTCTGTAGAACCCTGGGGTTGTCAGGGTAGCTGAGTGGTTAGAGTGTTCACTTGGCTCCCCGAAGGCTCCGGTTCAATGCCCCACATGGGTGCTATAAGTGAATCCCATTTCTGGTGTCCCAAGCTGTGATATTGCTGGAATATCGCGAAAAGCAGCTGAAACCCAACTCACTCATGCACTCACTCACTCATATTTTAGTTGGGAAACCATGAACTGAAATTCTAAAGTGACTTCAGTGACTGAACTGAAATTTGTCTAAACTTCAAATATTTTAATAATGACATTGCAACAGAATTGTTACTCTTGTTTATATATGTATAAATTGGGGGAGAAAAGTTCATTGAAATACAATTTTGTTGTTAAGATATGATCTTTAGGATATGGAACACACTCGTCTGATAAATCCAATTGCATGGATCGATGCTCATGATATCATTCACTGCATTGTCTGGTCCAGACTCGATTATTTACAGACCACTGTCACATAGCTGGAATATTGCTAAGTGCGGCGTTGAACAACAAACCAACCAAATCATCTGTTACCATGGTTACATTGTTTGTTAACTTAATACATATCTTTTAAGTTACCATTGTTACTGCTGTAATGTTCTACACCACGTGAAGATCCGGGGTAGAATAGGTCTTCAGCAACCCATGCTTGCCGTTAAAGGCGACTAACGGGATCGGGTGGTCAGGCTCGCTGACTTGATTCATGCATGTCACCGCTCCCAATTGCGTGGATCGATGCTCATGATGTCAATCACTGGATTGTCTGGTCCAGACTCGTTTATTTACAGACCGCCATCATATAGCTGGAATATTACTACAGTGACTGTTCTTGTCAAATCTTCCTGTTTTGCTTTTCGGGGAAGGTTGCAGAGATTATCAAAAGTGTTGCTGTGGTTGTCCTAAACTAGCAGCTATCAGTCCTTACAGCTACCATGTTGACTGGCTATTGTATACTGATTGTGATCAGAACTGATTTAATATATTGTTCAGCATTCAAGACCTAGTATCTTATATTTATTACCTTGAAATAAAGGTCATTTGTAAATTTGAACTACATTTATATCTGTGTATGTGAGACTCTTGTTTAGGGACTTGTCATTTATTAGGGGGTGGGGGTCAGGATGAAAAAATGACAGAGAAAGGTGGGACAGGACATGTAAAATGTTACTTAAAGGGGTGGGGGGTGGAGGGTGGGGGGTGGGGGAAGGCAGCACATTATGATACAGTCTTTAGATCAATCCAACCATACCTTGAAATAGATTAAATTCAATGATGTATTGTTGATGATGTTTAGAATTGAAAATGTATTCCATTCTTTCTTCCCTTGATGAAATACAAACAGTCATTGTAGAAGTGAATCACAGATGACCACAGATTTTTCCAACAGTTTGTTTAAAGAAATATATAGACGAATAAAATGCCTCTCAGCTTACATTTAACAAACTGGATGAAAATCTATTAATTTACTGCTTTTAATTCATCAGCTGCTATTAAATTCAAAATGCTCTTTTCCAGTTTATTTGCATTGATTAATTATTGAAGGTGCATAATTATAAGCTTGAAAAGGCCTAGAGTTTGGATGCCTAATTTTAAAGGCATTAACATCAACAATGCAAATGGCCTTGAATTTGGCATTTATTATTTCTTGCAAAGCGTTTAAAATAGTTCCAGCAAAATATTCTACATTAGAGATAGTATAATGCTCTTGCAATGTTTGTTTAGAGTGTCATTTGCAACCATTGTAATGGTAGATTTTCAGGCATCAAAGGAAATATTAATTTAATGACTTATGTAGGCATGAAGAGAATCAGATCATTTTGGTTCATATGGATCTAGAATTTGGTTGTAGTCAATCTTTAATTGTATTTCATGCATGCATTGTTGGAACATGCCTTGTCTGACTGACTCACTGACGATGCTCACACAATCACTTCTTCCTGTTCAACGAAACCATTGCTGCCTGTCCACAATGCATATATTTATTTATTTGTACATGAAATAAATTTGAATGTCTGTGTTTCATGTCATTCTGACATTTATTGATAGAAAAGGAGTAAAGTTAATTTATGTCCCGACATACACCATGTAGTAAGCCAGGTGTTACTTCCTTTGTGGGTACAATGTGTGAAACCCGACCCCTAATATAGGTGTTAAATAATGTATTTGGAAGATGCTATCAGGAGAGCCTGGGTGAGAATTGGTACCCAGTTTTCTTTTTGTAAGAAGCGACTAAAAAGGTTGGATGGTCAGCCCAGTGACTTGGTTGATAGAAATTCCTCGTACCCACAGGCGTGAATTGTTGCACACACAAGTTCAAGGATAATACTTTGGGCATCCCATCAGTTGTATTATTTTATATTTTTGACATCTCCACCGAAACTAAAAGAAACAAAAGCTTCTTCTTTTTCATACATTTTACAATTCTTATGCTGCATATATTTTACGTCATCTTAACATTCTTAATATTCTGCTGGGCAAAAGAATGTATACACCCATGTTTGATGGGGGACCAAAAACGAAACAAACAATTGTTATTCGATGGTGATGTATTTGATATGGGTATCATAGTTGTGTTTTGGACCTCATGTTTGCAGATATGGTGACTGTTTTCAGCCAAGGGACATTTTGATAACGTTTGTAATTGGTCAAATCCATTTTTTAAAGTGTATACTTTCCTTTGCTCTACGTTTTTTAGAAAGAAATATACAAACAGACAACAAACGTAGCACCAGTGCTGATTCATGGCCAAGTAGTATTTATTATGACAATCTCTGTATGCAAACAGTTAAACGATGTACACACATTGACAGTGATGCACGGACAACATATTCTGATTCAACCTGCTTCAATAACTGGTTGTTTGATCACAGATTCCGAGAGATTTGACCCAGGTTATTCTTGGTCATGTTGATGTATGCTATTGATGTTGAGAAGTGAACATGAGTTAAATATAATTGAATGTCAGGATGCTAAAAGCATTTTGAAAACAAAAGCATTAATACAATACTCTTACACACAAGAAATAGTTTACATGTCATGACACACATATTCCAGCATTGAAAAAAGTAAACATAACACAACTTGAAAATAAACTTGTTCATATTAATTGCATAAATTAAACCATTATAAACATCCTAATTTTACAAGTGAATATATTGCAGATTATACATGCTGAACGAGAAAGCTGTTAGCGTTACATGCAAACCTCTTCATGAAGCCCCAGAGAATTCCCAACAAAAACATATATGGTGAATCACTTGATAGTGACTTCAGTTAAGGCATTGACTGCACACTTTCAAATTCGTTTTTTCATTGCAAACTGAAAGTCCATAGGTCCATAGTTCAACGTATTTATAGGGTATGCGTGTTTCCTCTGACTAGCAATACATGATGTATGTACAATGCAATATTTTGTAATAAAGTAATATTTGAGGTAAGATGTAAACTTCTTTGGAATATACTTGTTTCTTAATTGAAGAAGTTTACACACAAGCATAAAATGATACTTATTTTCTACAACATTAAGGTTACAAGATGTACAGATATTGTTAGACCTTTAAAAATATACCTTTATAGATCTTTAAATCATAATAACCTGCCACTTTGATAGTGACATCAGTTAAGGCACTGACTGCACACATGCCCAGGACAGTACAACTTTGAAATAGAAAGTCCCATGCAACTCTCTACCGTAATAGCCAAGGTATAAGCACTTCTGTTTTATAACATAACTTCAGTATGGGAAAACACATGCAATGCAGTACAACCTTGAAATCTTGAAAGTCCATGGCCTCTAGCTGCCTTACATAACAAGCACATCTGGTTTAATTACCTTGACATTCAACCACGAACGATCAAGATATGCTTATAAAGTCTCGTCAAGTTCTATTTACATATAAATGCTCAAGATAAATATTGTGTACACACATTATTAATGAAAGTACAATTCCTTAAATAAAGACAGACAAAATGATATGTGCTAATGACTTCAACCAGCAACTGCTACAATGTCGGACTTTTACACATTGTGATACATGAATCATGAAGATACAGGTGGTCCAAACAACACTATTGTTACAGCTGCCTTATGGCAAAATACAGACTACAAACATGCAAATTCTCCAAAACTCATCCACGTGCGAACCATGTGACCATGTATGTGTGTGATCTGCATGTTAAACATGAACACAAGGTCCACGAAAGTGCAGGGTTTTCGTTTACGTGTCCTCTTTATTTGGACGACGTCACATGACCTTCCCAGATCTGGTAAATCAAGTGTGACCCCCACAGCCCAGGACAGTAAAACCATACTCACTCACTCACTATTATTTGACCTCCAGTGACCTTGACCTTATATGGAGGTCACCAAACGTAAGAGATCACATATACTAAGATTCATGAAATTCCATTAATAAATACTCAAGTTATGGTGTACACAGGCTTTTTGAACCTCTCATGTCATCTAATCATATGTAAAAACATCCTAGGGGTATAAAGCTTTGAAGTCTGTAACATCTGTCAACCTCAAAACCAAGCAAATATATTAAGCAGCACCCTGACGGGCCTAATTTAAATAGGAAATATAACAAACTTTGCTCCTACAGCCAACATATCAATAATGGTAATCTCATTAAAGTCATATCAATTAGGTCACTTCAATTCTGTCCAGATTTACAAACCCACCATACAACTCACGAGATGTCACTTTCCGGAAACTATTCTGCTTCACTATATTGACAACGTGATCTGTTGTCACTTGCAGTTTTTTACCAACTCTGTACCCAAAACACCAAACTCGTGATCACAAATTACCCGGCATTGATTTTCATTAGCCAGTTTGATTTGCTTTGCTACTCAGTCATGGAAACCAACCAGAATGCGAGTTACAAGACAATGTTGGGCTGTCGATATCAACAATATGGCGGCCAGGCCCACAGATTATGTAAGAGCTTGTGAGATAGACTGCATGTCCTGTGTCCTGTAATCAGCAACAGGTACTACCATGGCAGATTTCGTGCACCGGATTATGGCTATTCACTGGGTGACTCACCATGTAATATTCTGGCAGTGGAGTCTGTATCTTTCAAGAGACCATGTTTTGGGGTTTGCAAATTGTTCACAATAACTGGTCTGCAGAAAATCTTGCTCATCAAGGGTGCGCCCCCAACTTCTTGCGGCATACTAGTCATGATTACATATAACCAAATCATTCAGTGAATTGTTATTGTCTTATATAAGGATAACAATTCAGTAACTGTCTTACAAATGCACTTTGTTTCCTGAATCCTGTGCAAGCATTTCTTTCTTCAAAAGGCTGTGCATCTTACCTTTTCCAAACAGGTGTATCCGCACTTGACGGTGAATGTATAGAATGGGAAAGAACAGTCCTGTGGATTTGTTTGACAGGAGAGAGTTTAATCAGTGTGGATGGTTCACAATTTGAAGATAACTGGTTGGAGTTGGATGTCCATCCATCTGAGCTAAACATTCAATGTCCTCATTACCGTCTGTTAGAAGTGTGAGGTCAGCTTTGTGCTGCACAAGGAGGTCGACCACATCTTTATGTCCATAAAACACAGCCTTCATTACTGGTGTGTATCCATGACAGGACATGTAGTATTATAGCTGTGTTCCCACCCTGACAGGCAAAATGAAGTAAACTATGACCAGATGTATCCAACAGTGTGAGGTCAGCTTGGTTGGACATAAGGAACTCAAACACACTTTTATGTCCACTGACAGCTGCCACCATTACTGGTGTATGGCCATGCATCCCTCTGCTGTTGATGTTAGATGGAGACAGGACATGTTGTACTATAGCAGTGTTTCCACCCTGACAGGCAATATGAAGTAAACCATGTCCATCTGTATTCACCAGTGTGAGGTCAGCTTGGTTGGACACAAGGAGGTCGAACACACTTTGATGTCCACTGACAGCTGCCACCATTACTGGTGTGCATCCATATATCCCTCTACTGTTGATGTTAGAAGGAGACAGAACATGTTGTACTATAGCAGTGTTTCCACCCTGACAGGCAAGATGAAGTAAACTTACATCATGTGTATCCACCAGTGAGAGCTCAGCTTGGTTGGACACAAGGAGCTCAAACACACTTTTATGTCCACTGACAGCTGCCACCATTACTGGTGTGTATCCATGTATCCCTCTACTGTTGATGTTAGAAGGAGACAGAACATGTTGTACTATAGCAGTGTTTCCACCCTGACAGGCAAGATGAAGTAAACTATTACCATCTGTATTCACCAGTGTGAGGTCAGCTTGGTTGGACACAAGGAGTTCAAACACACTTTGATGTCCACCGACAGCTGCCACCATTACTGGTGTGAATCCATGTTTCCCTCTACTGTTGATGTTAGAAGGAGACAGGACATGTTGTACTATAGCAGTGTTTCCACCCTGACAGGCAAGATGAAGTAAACTATCACCATCTGTATACACCAGTGTGAGGTCAGCTTGGTTGGACACAAGGAGGTCAAACACACTTTGATGTCCACCGACAGCTGCCACCATTACTGGTGTGTATCCATGTATCCCTCTACTGTTGATGTTAGAAGGAGACAGGACATGTTGTACTATAGCAGTGTTTCCGCCCCGACAGGCAAGATGAAGTAAACTATTACCATCTGTATACACCAGTGTGAGGTCAGCTTGGTTGAACACAAGGAGGTCAAACAAACTTTGATGTCCATAGAAAGCTGCCACCATTACTGGTGTGTATCCATGTGTGCCTCTACTGTTGATGTTAGAAGGAGACAGAACATGTTGTACTATAGCAGTGTTCCCACCGCGACAGGCAAGATGAAGTAAACTATCACCATCTGTATTCACCAGTGTGAGGTCAGCTTGGTTGGACACAAGGAGATCAAACACACTTTGATGTCCATTGAAAGCTGCCACCATTACTGGTGTGTATCCATGTATCCCTCTACTGTTGATGTTAGAAGGAGACAGGACATGTTGTACTATAGCAGTGTTTCCACCCTGACAGGCAAGATGAAGTAAACTATTACCATCTGTATCCACCAGTGTGAGGTCAGCTTGGTTGGACTCAAGGAGATCAAACAAACTTTGATGTCCATTGATAGCTGCCACCATTACTGGTGTGTATCCATGCCTCTCTCTACTGTTTATGTTAGAAGGAGACAGGACATGTTGTAATATAGCTGTGTTCCCACCCTCACAGGCAAGATGAAGTAAACTATCACCATGTGTATCCACCAGTGTGAGGTCAGCTTGGTTGGACACAAGGAGGTCAAACACACTTTGATGTCCATTGAAAGCTGCCACCATTACTGGTGTGTATCCATGTGTGCCTCTACTGTTGATGTTAGAAGGAGACAGAACATGTTGTACTATAGCAGTGTTCCCACAGCGACAGGCAAGATGAAGTAAACTATCACCATGTGTATCCACCAGTGTGAGGTCAGCTTGGTTGGACACAAGGAGGTCAAACACACTTTGATGTCCACTGACAGCTGTCACCATTACTGGTGTGTATCCATGTGTGCCTCTACTGTTGATGTTAGAAGGAGACAGAACATGTTGTACTATAGCAGTATTTCCACCATGACAGGCAAGATGAAGTAAACTAATACCATCTGTATTCACCAGTGTGAGGTCAGCTTGGTTGGACACAAGGAGGTCAAACACACTTTGATGTCCACTGAAAGCTGCCAGCATTACTGGTGTGTATCCATGCCTCTCTCTACTGTTTATGTTAGAAGGAGACAGGACATGTTGCACTATAGCCTTGGCACCACGAAAACTGGCAAGATGAATAATTTCGTAGCTATATTTGTCTTTCACATTCAAGTTTGATATTGTCTGCAGTAACTTAAAACATCCCTCTGATCCTGTGTGTGCTGCAACCATGACAGGGGTCCTGCCATTCACATCAACAGAGTTTATAACATTATTCCCAGGTTTCCTGGTTAACAGGACTTTCAGGGTTTTTTCCATTCCTGATTTACTGACAAGATGGAAGATGGTTTGCATGTTTTTGTCACTTGTGTTAATATCAGCGCCTTCCTGCAGCAGATACACTAGTATGTCAGAGCTGCCACTTTCAGCAGCTACCAACAAAAGTCTGTTCAGTGTCAACTGATGGTCATGTTTCTCACTCCTGCTGAACAGCCATTTCAATGCTGTCACGTTGTTGCTTTGTGCACATCCTTCCATGGCCTCACTGATCTCTCCTTGAGTGAACTCTTCTCCAGTTGTGTGTTCTATATATGTAACTAGACGTGCATTATGTCCAAGAACTGCCCAGTACAGAAAACATTGTCCTTTCTCTTTCTTGTGAAACCAAGGTTCTTCCTTAGAATCAGTTTGATTATGCTGATGAGTCTGTTTTGTCCGATCACCTTGAAGTTTGTTGAGCAGCTTGAAAACGGTGGTGTCTTGTTTGAGAATTGGATGTGTCACTGATTTAGAAAACTGTCCTAGTTTAATAGACTGTGCAAACCTTGTGGTAAGTAGATTATCATAATTCTCTGAGACATATATCAAATGGAGATGATCATCAACTTTGGTTTCTTCAACCTTGTCACCTTGTACCCTTTCAAACAGAAAGTCATCACTGCAGTGCTTCAAAACAAAGATTGGACTGATATTGTACAAGGCACACATACAAGCATCATAGATTGAAGAATGAGCAAATCCAACAGTGTCTCCTCTTGTGAAGAATGTACCTCTCAAACCTTTAGCTGCTTTGTACATGCCTGAACGTGTAGCGTCAGACATCAGCTGTAAAACAGTTTTGACCAGGCTGTCGATTTCCTTATCCTCACCTTCACTGTCTAACTTGCTCAGGTCCAATTTGTCTTCACACAGTAGCATCAGAACAAGAATGGCTGATCGGTCATTTTTCTCTTCAAGCAAATGCTTTAGTTCTAGCCTGAGATAAAACAGAGGTTCCTTGAAAAAAGATTTTGCATTTTTGTAGAAAGATGAAAATTCAAAACAAAGTTTACAAATAAGAGGGAATCCAAAGACATTTGAACATATTCCCAGCTCACTGTAATCAGGTATATGTTGCATGGAGCAGTCACCAAGAGCATTCCTATGTTGTTCAAATATTGTCTTTTTCTCTTTGTCAGAAAGCCAGTATTTATCTTGTGTGGTTAAATCCATTACAGTTTGACCGTTGAACAGTTTGAAACCCTCGTACTGCAGTTTTGCAAGTCCATCATGGAAGTTGTATGACTTTGATGTGAAGATCACACGAATATCCTTTGTTTGACATTCTGGTTGACTCTGCACTTTCTTTCTGGATTTACCAACAGCATCACTATCTTTTGTTTGAAATTCTGGTTGACTCTGCACTTTCCTTCTGGATTTACCAACAGCATCATAGCTTTCATGCATTTCTGACTGCAGCTTTTCCGCACTCCGCTTTTGTTCTAAATGGAGGAGAAGGTTGTTAAGAAAGGATTTCACCTGTGATGTATTCGCAGATAATCCAACAGTACCAAACATGTCATCTACTATGAGGAATACTCTGGGGTGTCTTGTAAGACAGTGGTCTAAGTCAAACTTCTCAATGTTGTCCACAAACACGACCTCGTAGCCTTTGTCTCTGTACTGTGAACCTAACACCAGAGCCATCGTTGTCTTGCCTTCTCCCGAAGCCCCGCAGATGGTCACATGTCCAAATTCCTTCAATTTTCGTTTCACGTCTTTGAAGGGTTCAGTTGGAAGAAAAATCTTCTTCGCTTCGTCTGTACGCAAATCAAGGGTACCTGTGGAGGAATGGAAACTATTTACTTTGAACACTTGGAATGAAACATAAGAAACCAAAATAGATACCTCTTTCATACTGTGTGGAACATCTTTTTGTGTAGGAGGAGAAAGGATCATCTGAATTTTCTCATGATGAAATATTTCAACTTTCACTGAAAAATCTTTTATGTCTCCACAGTACTTTAAACTGAACACTGAACATCACCATCTTTGATCAGTGACGAGTGCTTGGCATTGTGGCATCAGTTGTTGATACACACTGAATTGCAAGCATAGAGAAAACGATCTTTTCATACGAACTTGTTCCTGATTTAGTGTACACAACAACAACTTGATTTAGGAGATAAACATATTGTGTTTTCTATGTAGAGCTAGGTTACCTGTAGATTTAACCGCGCTAAATTGAATTTGGAACGGAACACGCAGCGTGAGTTTCAAATGTTAAATTTTGCGCGGTTAAATCTACAGGTAACCTAGCTCTACATTGAAAACACAGTATGTCTATCTCCATTCTACCATGACTAAATAAAACGCGAACTCTTTGGTGTTAGCAAATATATACTCAGTGAAGCGGCATGGGATGAGTTCATTGTTTTGAGTGGGTTATCAATCTGAATTACGGAATCACCGAACAAAATATGGCGCTGTATATACTCAAGCAGTTTTTTTACACCATAAAACTCACTCAAACATATGACAGACATTGAAAGCATATAAGCACGGCAACTTGGTAAGCTAACATGAGGTGGGCATCCCTAAAGAAAACAAAGCAAGCTTTGCAAGGCTTTCGCTCTACATCGCATGTCACCATTGTGACGTCATACCGCTCATTGTGACGCAAAAGATATGACGTCACAGTTGTATAAAGAAAAGGGCCACAATTCCAAGCTCTCTGTTGTCTCCAAAACGTAAATACATTCCCTTTGTACATTTCTATCGTGTTTTCTGCATGAAATGTATTGCCACACATCCTTTGAATATTTTAGTAACTGAATCTGTGCATTTTGTAACCTGTAATTGTAGATATAATTATTTAAATATGCCTACCAACAATGACTGAAAATAGTACTATTCTATGAATATGAGCTTCCGCAGTGAAACCAGCTGTTTCAATCAGAGGGGATTTATTGTGATTTAATAGCCTCTGTTTGACCAATCAGGATTGAGTAAATTCCAAATTCATGGTAGAATAATAAATAACATCCTTCTTCATTCAGGCCATGTATGCAATATTGCCAGATTCAAGCCCCCTGAACAAATTCAATCAAATTGAAATCTGATGTTTTACTCTGATATGAAAGGCTCCATGTGAAGACAACATGTTCTTAGGGGTCACATCATCGGGAAATATCATTTGGACTGAGAAATAAGCACCAATCTGCTCTCTGAGAATTGTTAAGTGTCTTGCACAACATCATTGTTAATATTTAGGAGTCTGTATACTCTTTGTTCCTTCGTCACCCATATATACATAAGGATGGCATGTTGGACCAGGGAAATAACATTCCGATTGAACATAGGCACCATTTGCACTCTGAGAATGGTAAGAGTCTTGCACAAGATATAGTAGACAACTGACCCTTCAGCCATGAACGCTCACCTCTCCCAAGTGTTCCTTGTCTGGTCTGTTCGGTGATGATGTTCAGAGTGTTGGCAACCTGGGAGTCCCCTGAAGGATGGTCACCTGTAAACACCAATTTATGAGGAATTATCAGTAAAAATGGTAACCAAATTTCCATGCTTAATTCGATTTTACGAGGCCACAACCTCATTTCTCTCTCTCTCTCTCTCTCTCTCTCTCTCTCTCTCTCTCTCTCTCTCTCTGTCATGGGGGGCAACAAGGGGGGCAACAAGGACAACCACCTGTACCTACCGAATCTGGGGACTGGTGGCTGGTTCAATAGCACAACGTCCTCCTCTGCTGTTAAGTTTTCTACATCTGAACTTTCAGATTCAACATCAGGAATGGCCATGTGACCTCCCGACTGCTCACCGGAAGTGGCCATGTGACCTCCAGACTGCTCACCGGAAGTGGCCATGTGACCTCCAGACTGCTCACCGGAAGTGGCCATGTGACCTCCAGGCTGCTCACCGGAAGTGGCCATGTGACCTCCAGACTGCTCACCGGAAGTTGCAATGTGACCTTCAGACTGCTCACCGGAAGTTGCCATTGCCAGATGGTGTCCACTGTCCTCGTCTGTACTGGCCATTACAAGTTCAGCTCTTCACATCGCCATGAAGCATCTATGAAAATAGAAGGGAATCTAATCATGTTATGACAATAAGTCAAGCTTGTATGACAGTAGGTAGCCTTGGGATCTGAAGCACAAGTGCCCAAGGTTGTAGATCACATCAGTGATGATGTTCAGAGTGTTGGCCACCTGGGAGCCCCCTGAAGGACGGTCACCTGTCAACACCAATAATGAGGAATCATTGGTAACCATGGTAACCAACATTTGAATTGATCAGATGTTTTCTTTCCACACTGAATAACTTCATTTAACATAATTACAGTGCTAAAGAGTATATTATTCTGAAGTTTTGGCTGTATTGGTCTTTTGCATTCTTTTGATTCTAAAACTTACCCTGTCAATAACAATATTGTTGGTGATCAAAACATGTTAATCATGAATCATGGTATGATTCTACACACACAGTCCAACAAGTATAGTCAGTGTTAGTTAATTATTACCCAAATTAGATTTGTATCGAGATGAGATATTTTCTCAGCTACAAAACCAAATATTTGTTTGTCATTTAAAAAATGTGAGCCTCAATTATAACATCGAAAACATCACTCGCCATCTTGCGGGTTTGTTTACATTCGATATCCAAGGCGATGTTTTCATTATGCGCTTATTGACAAGCGCAGTTCTGGCCGTAGATTGATCGATAACACATTTCTACACATGTACAAGTCATCTACATTCGTTTAATGTCCCTTACTTACCGAAATATCGACAGTTTACTTGGCGAGCTAGGAAAATGTTACCACCCACTGCGACGGAGTGTACGCTCTTATGAAAGAAATTAGCGCTAAATTTGAAGACAGTTATCTGGAGTGCCAGCAGTCTCTAAATAATGACATCAGATAATTGTTTCAAATGGTAAATATTTATTATGAACAAGTTTTTCATTTTATCATATACTTGTCATCTAAAGCTAATCTACTATTAGCTGGTTAATTTTAAACAATACATCACTATATTAATATTAATAGGCACATTTTCATGCATATTGCCTGTGCCTGATCACATTATGAATACTGGTCATGCTGATTAAAAATGAAATAAGTGAACATTTCATGCACCCCCCCCCCCCCCCCCCCTTCTGTATTCGCCCATGCATGATCATATGGATAATACAAACACGCCAAAATCTCATGATGTGCCATTATAATAACAATATGAAATTCTGAATTTTTACCAATGGCAGCTACTTCAATTTTCAGTTATGTAAAGTTCTTCATACATTCTTACAGGTTACATGAAAAGTATGTTGAAGATAGCAAAAGTACTATACCAGTTGAAGAAATTTTGGGACAGATCAAAAGTGTTTTCGGAAAATATATTAAAAATGCTTTTCCAAATATCACAACCAGGCACCGAATAGCTGGTGATTGAACACAAACACAATGTGAGATCTGAAAAGACACAAAACATTGAATTTGTCGCTGTCCATTTACACACATGGTGAACAGAGGAAGCCGTCTCCTTCCATCTAAAAGCACATTGAGTAGAAGTAAAAACTGTGTAAATCAATGACACACTTGAAAAAACATTGTCTTAGCTACTATAATAAGTATATTAATATTGTTACTTGCCATATTCATGAGAATAATTCCTACATTTTAACATGTACCAAATACCTTTGTTATGGTATGTTGAGGATTACATGTCTAGTTTTAAACTCTATTAATATTATGATTTGTGATGGAACAGTGAAGATGGTTAAGTTTGGAGTTTATACATATAATACATGTCATATTTACCTGTTCAAATATATTTCATCTGAACATGCTTAGCTCATTAATGATCGGCACATCAGTCTCCTTAATCCTCCTGTTGACATTCTTCTTTTCATCACTAAGAAGTATCTTTGTTCAGAAGGTGTTCTTGGACAGGTTACCGAGACATCTTTCGAACGCACCTGCTTCGCGGAATCGACCGAACGTAACCTACTTCGCGGAATTCGTATGTCTCTTTGGCTGTTGAATGTAACACGTGACTGCTTGAACAGCGAGATGAAATTTAGGGCTGATAGGAGTAGGACGCATCGCGAGATGCTCCTACTCATTGCTTGCGTTTTTTCAGAGCCCTACTAGGGTTATACTTCCTAGTGCATACTTCCATACCAGGGAAGTTCAATTTGTACATAATGTGTTTATTGTAAATATCTTGTGGGTTTATTAAAAGGGTTGAACCGTTTCCTGAACATTATAGTTTTCATTTGAGGGGTTTCTTCTGCTCATTTAGCAGAGCGTGGTTGCTCACCCATAGTTGCATCATGTCATTATAAATGCAAGATAGATTCCTAACGCAGAAATGACTAA